GAACCCTTATATTGTATATAAAGTGAAGGAGTAAAAAAAAATTAAATACACATGATGTTAAATTTCGCGGAATAATTACTTTAAAAGACACGAAGGTTTATCTAAAGCGATGTTTTAGACGTATATGTTTTACTTGAAAAGGCTGCTTTTCTGCTGCTAAAATTTTATATGCCTTAGTGGGCCGGGGGTATATCTTAGTCCAAGCATATTTGCCCATTGCTATACCTTGTATGTAGAGAATTTTGTTACATAGAAGATATAGATGCTCAATATATTCTCAAACAAATCTCCATGACAATCTTCAGCTGCAGCTTAGCATTTTACATCTCGAACAAATGCGATTAAGTAGTCAATAGCTACAGCAAATCATCATGAATCGTATCAGCTAACTACTAACTATGCTTATTATCATTGCAATGTATAATGTTACTTACTATATCAAGTAATCCTTTGCTCATAGCTGAGCATAAAAAGTCAGCAAACCAGATAAATAAAAAACTGGGAATATAAAAATCTGCAAATAGGGACCGTAAAAAAGTAAGGAAACAAGGCTGGAAATATTGTAAACATTATTTTACTCAAAATACAAATCTGTATTTTGACTTCATCAAATGTAATTTTAGGTAACAGCATGAAGCCAAAATATGGGTTTGTAGTTTAAGTAAATAATGTCTACAGTATCTCCAGCTTTGTTTCCTTACTTTTTTACGATCCCTAATTGCGGGTTTTTAAATTCCTAATTTTTTATTTATCTTGTATATATGTTCCTCTCTTTATTTTTCTGTTCATGCTCCTATCTAAATATCTCTCTCAGTCAGTCAACAGAGGAAGACACATTTTTTCCGTGAAATTCTCTCACAAAATGAAACATTTTTGCTCTTTATAATTTTTTTTCTTCTCAAATTGACTGTTCAGCACACATATAATGTTGATATCGATATGAAATTTTAGGAATTGCAAAAAATTAATAATTTTTCTGAAATGTAATCTTTAAAACAAGCATTTTGACACACACATATATATATTGTGATTAATCGTTCAGGAGACAGAAAGCGTGACAGGCAGACATTTGGCTATTATATATATAAATACACTTTTAACATATTATGTTGTAAGTTTATAGAAAACCATATTAGTACAATTTATCTGAACGGTGACACTAATTACTAGAAAGTAGGGATCATCTTCATGTGTAATTTGTCATAATCTAAAGAAGTTGTAAACGTAATTGGTTCAAAATTAATCGTGACGTGTTATTAATAAAGTCTTAACGTAAAAATAACAGTTTGTTTTTCTCATTCAGTTTAACCTCATTACATGTTAAATTGGTTTACACCCTTAACAACACTGCAAACAAATACAAGTTAAAAATGTCCAGTAATTGTAACTCAAGTTATCTGTATAGAAAAAAAAATACTAATCGATAATACAATTTTCTTTGAAAATGTAGAAGAAAACATTAAATTTTAAAATCGAATCATCAACATGAGATTACTTCTTATGATCTGGGATATACACTCTATCATATTGTCTTTGATTTTTTTTCTTGGTAATAATTTAAAGAATGTTCAAAAACTTAGCTTTTCCTTATTTTGTTGGGCTTAGAGTGAATGTTGAAAAGCTCAACTTTTCCATATTTTGTTAGGCTTAGCGTGAATGTTGAAAAGCTTAACTTTTCCATATTTTGTTAGGCTTAGCGTGGACTGGAGACGTGACGCTGCAGAATAGGCGCTGCACTTTCATTTGTGGGAGTGTTACAAAAGTGGCAGTCAATCCCATTATTCGGTTCAAAGAACTAGACAGATTCAGGTTGAAATTTCCAATGCTATTATTTTCTTAAACATACTCATATACAACTTCACTTAGGCTTTGGTACAAATTTGAACTTCATAGTAACTTATTTAAGCTACAAAACGACATTATATGATAGCATGACAAAATTGAGTAGTTTTATGACTTGCGCGAAAACAAACCGCATCGCTATCCAAAGCTAACCAGATTACTCAAGTACAATATATTTATTTGTATAAATAAATCTTATATTCCTGATTTCAAAAATAAAATCTGTAATGAACATGCCATTATAGATTAGTCACGAAATGATGCTTTTAATGTTCACACAGTTTATAACGTCACAAAGAAAGAAACAAACAAAATAAACGTAACCGGGTTACGGTGAGCTTAATTTGAACTTAATAAAATTGATTTACCCTGTCTCTTAAACTCTTATTCCCTTAGAAATCTAAATTTAACAAATTATTATAAATTGATATTGTAATTTTCTAATATAGTTTTCTGCTTTATTTGTATTAAATGTTATAAATATGTTCAAAACTTATTTTGATCTGAATCTAAAAGTCGCCCCCAGGTGGCTCAACGATACTTCTGATGACTTATAACGCTAAAAATTGAGTTGCGGTACTTGCGATCGGCAGAGCATAGATAATCTATTGTGTAGCTTTATGTTTATTAACAAACAAATAAACTAAAAGTCTAAATGTTGTAAATCATAATTCAGCTTTCCATACCAAACCGTACCCCTGCGGGTCAGCGATAAGTTTACGGACTTACGATGCTAAAATTCGAGGTTCGATTATCTGCGGCAGACAGATTGCATACAGCCTATTGTACACTAAAACAACAACAACAAATATATATAAACTGCATAACATGCTCTAGGTGGCGAATGTCGCTTGTCGTGGACTTAAATAACTTTATTAACTTCTCATCACCGTGAGTTGTTTCAAAAGAAGGATTTCTGTAGTGGGTACCAACACTCGAAATACTAAAATGAAACAAAAGTTAATATTCACACAATTTATCGAAACCCATAGGATAATTTGCAATAGAACAAAATTGTATACATGGAATCAATTTTGATTTAACAATAAAAACATTGTCGTTATAGACTTTTTAAACTTTTTCATTCAAAACTCCCCAAAGTTATGCCCGTTATTTTATTTTTGCATTTGCCACAAGATTAAGATCTCCTTTTTAGTACAGTTGAACTCTTAATTCTATTACATTAATTTCGAACAATCTCATTACACTTAATCCAGTTGGTGAAGTAAAAAATTATCAGATGCTAATCTAACAAATATCGTAATTGGTTCTTTTCTGTCTATATTATTTTAGTTCCCTGTTATCGTTGTTCTGATTGGTTATCTGGAAACCTTATTGAATATTCAACAGAGCACCGCCATATTTGGCACGCGCTGGTAAGACCGGCGCGGCCGTCAGTTGTAAAGGGTAGGCTTAGTTCGAAAAGTGTTTGTTAGCTTTCAGAGTTGAATGTGGAATGGAAGATTATGGACAGATGTTGGTGTCGTCGAGTTCGCAGTGTTTTGTATGGCATGGGCGTAAGCGCACGATGATAATAAACTGGTGAAGTTTTATATGTACATGATTCCTGTAAGAATGTTGAGACTATATATGAAATGTATACTTGAAGGAACTATGGCTCTTTTCCACAGAAAGCAACGAAGAACACGGTCGGAGACCCTCGTAAGAGGCGTAATCGTAGCTGCACTCTCCACTGTCATTCTCGGTAAGTTTGTCTTGCCTCGTCCTTCTACGGGAGAGGCATGAAGGCCAAATGAGCCCCGTTTTCTGAGTGTGAGAGAAAGACGTATCAATCAAATGTATAAATACTTTTGCAACTGTAATAAAAGATATAATATAATTCCTGTAATTCGAAACGAAAGTTATATACATTTTAATATCTTAATAAATTATTATGACTTATTTTGTTTTTAATTTAAAATTTTAAAAAGAACAACTAGATTGTCCGAGTCTATCACAGAAAATCGCCCGTTATTGCTTTTGCCGTCGAAGGATTATTTGCATTTATGAAACTCGATTCAAAAACTACAATATATTTTATAGATAGTAGAGGGCTAAATGTGGCCCAATTAACCTAAGTCTAAACCAGTTTCAGTGTGAGAAACCAGTTATAAAGCTAAAACATAAAAGTTTTGATTAGCTATTCCATATATTTTAGGATAGAAAAGAACGTGAACAAAAATATAAGTATGTTATACATGATAAGAAAATAAAGACGTTAACCTTCAATGGCTGTTGATTAAACAATGATTTAATTTTGGGCTTTGTAGTAAGTCTAAATTATTAATGACTAATTTTTTTTCTAATTACATATTATTGACTATATATATGTATATACATACAGCTATTGATTGTGTATTATATCATATTAATAATGAAATACATTTATTATTTCTTAAATGAGGTATACCTTTTAATGGCTTTTATGATTATAAGATATTATAATAAACTACATGCCGTCGAATTGTAGACAAAAGTTGAATATATTGTGAATACAAAACAGATACACGAGTGGTTATAAATGCACCTTTTTTTTTACTTATCAGCCCTTATTAATAAGACCTTGGAATATTAGGAAAGTAATTGAGTAACAAGAAGGTACTTCATTTCAGAGTCATTAAAGTGCCAAGATTGCACTTGACCTCATTATTAATATTGAAAAGTAGAAGAGCTTATTATCTTCTGAAAGCTGTTGCGTTGTTACAAAACAGTTATGGCAGTAGTGTATTTGCAACTGCGCTACTGTATTCGATATTGTATTATTTAGTGTATTTGCGATTGCGCTACTGTATTCGATATTGTATGATTTAGTGTATTTGCGACTGCGCTACTGTATTCGATATTGTGTTATTTAGTGTATTTGCGACTGCGCTACTGTATTCAATATTGTGTTATTTAATGTATTTGCGACTGCGCTACTCTATTCGATATTGTATTATTTAGTGTATTTGCGATTGCGCTACTGTATTCGATATTGTATTATTTAGTGTATTTGCGACTGCGCTACTGTATTCGATATTGCATTATTTAATGTATTTGCGACTGCGCTACTGCATTCGATATTGTATTATTTAGTGTATTTGCGATTGCGCTACTGTATTCGATATTGTATTATTTAGTGTATTTGCAACTGCGCTACTGTATTCGATATTGTATTACTTAGTGTATTTGCGACTGCGCTACTGTATTCGATATTGTATTATTTAGTGTATTTACGACTACGCTACTGTATTCGATATTGTATTATTTAGTGTATTTGCGACTGCGCTACTGTATTCGATATTGTATTACTTTACGATTTTACCATTCTTGGTAAATATTAGTTACAAATTTTGGCCGATAAGGGTCATTGTAAATTTTTGATTGGAAAGACCATTAACATTTTCCCGAATTATTAATTCACAATTATTCGAAAATTTAAATCTTGTAGGAAAAAAAAGAGAGCAAGTAACTTTTGTTGAGAGCCGAGATTCAGAAAGTTGGATAAAAAAAGATAAAAAAATCGTTACGAGGTTTTGGTAAGTTGTTACAACGTTAAAGTAAGTTCTTGCAAAATTGGTCATTGGATTTTAGTGCTTCACATATATTATCTGCGAGTTACGGCAAAAGTCGGTTTCGTAATTGTATTAGGCCTAGGATAGGATCAGGCTACAGTGAGAGATTTTTCTTTGAATACTCGTAAACAAGTAAGTGAAACATTACTGAAGCATCATGTTGGATTAAATTACGTTACAGAACTTGACTGTACGTTGTTTGAAATAAACATATTTTGTTTGTTTAAGAAAACTCATGAGCCATTTTATTTTCACGCTACATTTTTGAGAAAGTGTCAAGAAAAAAATGATAGTATCAATAGAGAACTATATTATCGAATCGAATCACATAAAAAAAACATGCCTATCGTCGGAATATCATGTAATCAAAAAAGTACTTGACTTTAAATCATCGATAATATAGTACATTTAATTTTGATCATCTCTGGGTACTGGGGAGGTTTTCATTCGAACGTTAAGAAGTTGCTGACTGCAGAAAAAATATATTTTAACTTTGAGAAATTTGACGAAAAGTACCACGTGAGAGATTTGGAAATAAACTATGTACAAAGAATGTTCTAAACCCAAAAAATCTAAAGAAATGTTAATCTTGTAATGTTGGAGAGGTGTTTAATCTTCAAGAAAACCAGCTATAGTTTTATCCTTTAATTAAAGCTGATCTTGTATTAAATATTAAAGATATTTTTCAAATTATTTGAAGTGTTAATCTACTACTTTAAAAGATAATTATTTCTCTGATAGGGTATACAACTTTTTACACTTGAATTAACAATGTCTTATATGTACTTGTTTGTGTACATACCTGAGGCTTTCAAGGTTTCATTTCTCATTCCTAAAACTATTTTAAGCTCCATAGTTTGTTATTCTTCTCCTCGAACTTTGCTAGGCCTAGTGGAGTTTATATAGTTCAAAACTGTTAATTATATGGTGGACTTTGCCACGTAATACCAGCTTAATATATGTCCTATCACTATTGGCTTAATAAACATTGACAATACACTTTTGGTGTGTAGTTTAATGAACGAGAAAATCGCCTTCTCGTACCGAATAGTTGATTATTTATAAAGATTGGTGACTAATATGAAAGTCTGACAATAAAGAGACGAAATTTGTCATTAATTAAAACCAATTAAAAACCTTCCTCAGTTACTTGTACATTATTACTTGTAACTTAGATCTTTATGAAATGGAAGTATTAAGCGTAGAGATCAGAAACCAGCGTGAAGGAATAATTTGTCACAAATGATCACGTGAGCATTACACCGATGTAGATTATGTTACCACAATAAGTGTCTTGTTTCAACACGGGTGATAAGCAGTTGGTAATTAAAGAGATTAGGCGTTACTTTGGGTCAACCATCAATATCTATCTTTTTCTAAGATGGTAGTGTTTATGAAATATGTTTATATACTTATGAATTATACGCAAAAATATCTCCGTTTATCGGAAACATGTATTTTTCATCTCTGTGTTTCAACATCTTTAAAAATGTTTGCAATTAGAAAGGAGCCTATGTTAACCCGCCCACTGAGTCGTCGTTATGGCGGATGAAGGAAACGATGTCTCAGCATTTTATTATATTATCTGTAGTATCTAAAGAACACCTGATCACTTCTTTTTTCGTTTATTGGTGACACTTTAAATGTCTATTAATAGTGTTAACTCTGCTATACTTCATTTTATTTTTTGACTAAGGTGCTTGAAAATAATACGCTGTAAGGAAGAAATATTTACCGGATGGTATATCTGAAAAATATGTAGGAGAACATTAATGAAATGAACTTTGTGGTAATATAGGGATGATGGGAATATGTATTTAAACGTGTAGTGGCACGTTACTTCGTGCCACCGCTCTTTTGTAACTGGTAAGATTATTTTCCACTGGGTTGGTTATTTTGAATGGCTGAGTAAATATGTTTGTCATACTGTTATAAATATTATAAATTTTGAAGTTTATGTTAAGCAACTGTTTTATGTATTATGTCTGTGTCTCTACGTTAAGGTTACAGAAATGTCACATACTATATGACACATAACAGTCTAATAACAACGACACTTAGCAAATACATAGTTGAAAACGGTAGTATAAAATCCGTTTGGTGGCAGCACTGCTGTACATGATTAACATAGCTACAAATGTATATATGTGTATGCATTAATTTCCAAATAACACTTGTTCCTACGTTTTTGGAATCTTCGGCTTCTATATCCCATTTTGTGTTTCATTGGGTTGTATTTATTTCTACGTTGTTGCCGACTGTGGTGTTGAATTGTTATATTTTATACACGCACACGTTGGCTTACTTGTATTACATATTTAAGTTTGTCTATATATGTTGAAAACACTGCGTTTGTGCGTATTACCAATTCAGCAGAGATCAAATTTACCAAGTCTAGTGTTCTTATTTTTATATTTGACTAACGTGTTCGTGTTATTTGCCGAAATATAATACCAGGGATGTTTTTTTTTATATAAAGCATTTTCCTTGACATTTACAGTTAAGATAGTTGTTATTAGATACCCGCTTTTTTCGTTCTAAAGCTGAAATAAATTATATATGTTACATTGCTTTCAGGAAAAAAATGACTGGAGAAAATAATATTAATGAGTGAAATTATTTTTAAGAATTTGAATTGTTTGGAAAATATTGCTTTTTTTTTGCTAGGATTCTGTTGAACATTTCGTTCCCTTTGTTTTTACGACTGAGTGGATACGAGAAAAACATTGACTAAGTTTTTGAATGAGAGTGGGTTCTGCCCACACTAACATTCATTATGGTGTACCCACGCTATAATACGATTGTTTATTGACCCGAACTGCTCTGAAGGGAATAGGCAGCGAGGATAACTGGGTGTTTTCCGAATTTCCTTCTGGGCATGGTATCATTATTATAGGGTTTGACGATCAACATCCATACTGACATTGAAGGGTCCTAGGCGCTATAGGGTTGAATACAAACTTTATTTGGTCTATATATTATGTGATCATAAAGATGTGTTACTATAAGTCAGTTGACCATGAGAATTATTGTGGTTAGTGTAGGCACGACCACCATGACTTAATAACGTATTAGGTCATTGAAGTGTTTTGATAGCTACAATACTTGTATGCTCGTTATATTTCAGTCAGTGGTATAGTCACTAAACGAA